GTGGGAGGTGTGGGCGCGCGACCCCGCGACCCCGCGACCTAGGGCCTGAGTACAGTCTTGCTGCGTCTCCTGCAAACGGGGCCGGGGACACATAGGGAACTGGCTGTGGGTGGCACTCGGGGGGAGCGGCCCGGGGTGCAGGGCCTGGGAGCAGGGCAGCCGGGTGTCCCCCGAGGGAGCTGCTCAGGGCGGCTGTCCCTGCTCTGTATCCTGCGCTGCCCCCTGCCGTCTCTCCACCTCGGGCACCGGGGCATGTGCCCTGACCGGGAATCAAACCTTGACCTCCCGGTTCCTAGGTCAGTGCTCAACCACTGAGCCACACCAGCCGGGCTCCATTGATTTTTAGAGACAGTAGAAGGGATGGGGGGAGAGAGAGAGACACATGGATGTGAGAGAGACACATCCATTGGTGTGTTGCCTCCCCCACAAGCCCTGATGGGACCTAGGATCGAACCTGCGACTCAGGTACGCGTGTCCTTGACCGGGAATCAAACCCATGACCTTTGGGTGCGCGGGCCGATGCCCTAACCACTGAACAACACCAGCCAGGACTGAATGAATTCTTGAAGGATTAAGTGGTGCTTAGGCTAAACTACTTAGAATGAGAAGAATTCAATAGATGGTGGTTTTTCCTGGGAGCGGCCTGGGGAGGGGGGCATACAGGTGGCTGGCTGGTCCCAGACAGCCCGGCCCTACCCCAGGGTGGGTCTCCGCACACCTGGGGGCTGCAGGGGGGGGAGGAGGGACCCTGGTATGTGGAGACCCACCCTGACCCACCCTCTACCCCTCTTGGAGGGCAGCGGTCGCCCTTGTAGGAAGGGTGGTGGTGGAAGTCCAGGACCAAGTTCAAGGCCCCGGAACCCTTATCTGGGAGGGGGGGGCCTCAGGAATGACTCTTGAGAGATCCTGGGAGAGGCAGGGGGAGGAGAGAGCGGGTGAGGCCGCCTGCAGGGGGTCGGCACGGCTCACCCAGGATGCCCAGCGGCCATGCCAATCAGGGGGGGACCGTCCCCGAGCTGGAGGGGCCGAGCGTGGCCGGAGGCATCCGAGCACAGTCCTGGGTGGTCCTTGTCCTCTGACCGCTGGAGGCTCCGCGGCCTTTCTTCTCCCGGGCACGCTCCCCGGCGGCCCTGGCGGCTTCCTCTTGGCTCACAGGCGGTTTTCCTGTCGGCTCAGTGAGCGC